GAAAGAGAGAGAGAGAGAGAGAGCGTGTCTAACCCTCCACAGAACATTCAGCACCAGTAGAGAGCGCTAGTTTTATGCCTGCGCAGCGTGGGAGAGACCAGTCGCCAGGTCTTAAAGAGACTTCACATGTGGGCACCGCCCCCACATGACCTCTGACCTGCTGAGGACCAGCATGCAACATGCACAACAGAATCCCCCCGAGTCAACTGGATCATTTTTTTGGTTGATGTCACTGTACTCATTCACTGTACTCATACAGTCAACGCATCATTAGATTTGTGTCACACATTCTGGGAAGCATACAGGAGGTGGGTGTTGTGGCAGGGAGGGCCAGTAATATGTCAGAATGACACTGTCCAGTAGTCACAACTAAATGAATTGGTTAAGGGAAAGTTTGATTTTAGAGATCATATAAATAAAAACATAACCTGCCAATCAAGTCCTAGGTTAATGGTTTGTTTTAATAGTTAATGAGATCACATGAACAGCAGGAGAAAGGAAACACAAAACACTAAGTTACTGCTCTGTTAAGTTCACCAAAGCCAGGCTGGGGAGGGTGCTGTTGCATTGAATCAAATCATTAGTTCATCTAAAGTGGATTCTCCAGCTTAAAAGGCACATGAAAACACTATTGGATTTACTTTGCATTCCACTGATTAATCATTTCTATCACAATTGTCAGTATCAGCTCCCACTGGTGATTTATGGCAACTTACTGGAGCCAAGTGCACAGCCAGAAGAATTCCTCAGCTTACGGTTGGTAACAAACATTCTCTGTCATATCAGCAGCTCACATCAGTGATGGATGCTTGCTTGTCAGTTCTGTATATCAAAACAACTGAATGACTCATGTTTTATTCACAGCTCAGACTTGACTGCACATCTCTCCACGTTATTGAGACTGATCACTGCTACGCTACACTATTATGTGGCTGCTTGAAATATTATGTTTCCTTAATGTTCCAAAAATTCCTCTAAACTAGTTTTCTTATCCAAAGTGTTTATGGCTGTAACATTCATTTAAAGGACAAATGGATGTTTTTAATATCCTTTTATAGACATGTCTGTAATTGAGCCAAACATATAAAACCTTTGGAAATCATTAACAAATCATCACCAATTTAGATTTGCAGTTCAAATTTTGCTGGTTTGAACAATGCTTGTTTGCAGAAGAACAAACCAGCTGTTCTCTACCGTGTGATGATCAATCTGCCTTTGAGCTCCACGGTCATGTTATTGTTAAACGTAGGATTTATGTGGTTTGGTTATGCAGTTTGTTTTCATGAATTCTTGGAAGTCACAGTTTGAAAACTTACTGTAATAGACTTTGTTTAAACACCCACTTCAGTCATTCAGTGGCTGTTAGATGTTGTTACTGGGATCAAAGATGTGGATTAGCAGGGCCCTGCTCCACCTGCTAGTTGGCTTAGTTGGTTGTTAGCTTGCACTAGATCTTTCTTGTCACGGTGGTTATAATAATAAATACAGAGATTGTCAGTTTAAAAACAGCAACATTCAGTTAAGGGTTAAGTTAAGGCAATTTGGTTAAAGTGTTGAAGTTAGAACACTGATTCCAAAAGGGAAATGTATGTTAGCATCATACGGCTAGTAGCAGAGATTCTCACCAGCAAGAATCAAACAACAATGTTTTAGATGCCAACACCTGCACAGTTCAACTCTGTTATGGAAAAAACAAATTAAAAGCCTCCTCATCCTTTGCACACAAAGCTGATGCTTGGTCCTAGGGTTGCAGGGCACTTGCCTCCTGCTGTGACCTGCAGAAATATAATAATGATTTCCTCAAACTCTGCTAAATATTAACATCAGAAGTCAGAGATGTTCAGTGTCACAGTGTGGTTAGGCACATGTGTCTCAGGTGACACAACATGATCTGATCCTTGTTCTTAGCTGAATCTATTCAGACGATACTGTCTGATAGACTCAGATTTACCTACAGTGTCTTCTAGAAAGTATTGGAATTTAGTATTAAACTTTTGTGCATCCCCTTATGGAAGTAAAATGTTACTTTTCAGAACTGTAAAGCGTGCAGAATCTACGGTATGAAAGCAACAAAGTGCACATGACTTATAGGATTTATTTTCTGTTATAGAGCCCAGGCTGCCTGTCTGAGCTTTTGATGCCTTACTTCTGCATCAACTAGACAAAGAAAGCCGTCTGCAGTCACTGGGTTATGTGTCCAGTCTAAATTAAAGCCTGCCTTAACGGTGATATGTCTTTAACTGAGCTTATTTTGTGGCAAATCTGCAAGCTGCAAATATGCTTTTTAGTGATTCCAGTTGTTTAGCTTCTGTTGTTCTCTGTGTTCTCTGAAAAAGAAGACCACTGCGAGTGGCACAGGCTTCAGATGATAACCATTCCTGCAGGCCTTTTCAACACAACAAGCAAGTTTAAAATAACCAATTGCATCAGTTTGGAAAATTAATTAGACCTGGGTTAGGGCCTGTCTCTGCAAAAGGCGCAGTGAGTGGGTGTTATGTAAATGTGACCATTAGTGAGGAAATCACTGTCACGGATGGATGTGCTACACGACCAGAGCCAGGCTGGTGGGTCTGTTCTGTGGGTTGGCAGCAAGTGTGAACCAGAAGCCACACTGATACATTTGCCAGAGGCAATTACCAGCACGTAACACAACCACTTTCAACATTTTCTGTCCGTGTGAATCACTGAATCATTTGCTACTTGGTACACTGTATCAAGTAGCAAATGCATGATTGACGAGCATCTTAAATCTCAGTTAGATCCTGACTATTGAGTGGTCTTCAAATTGTTTCACCTGACAAACGAAGAACATTTATTAAAAAAAAATAAAATAAAATCTTCAGTTGTTCCAGCTTCTCAAATGAGACTTCTTGGTCATCTGTTTTCTCACTGTAAATGAAATGCTTGGGTTCTGGACTGTTGGTCTGATGTGACCATGTGTGACCACATTTTAGACTAAATCATTAAGTGATTCATTGAAAAAAGAATCCACAGATTAACAAATAATGAAAATGGTTGTTTTGGTGCTGCTGTGTCTGATACATGCACTCCATAACTCTGAGCTGATTGTTTCATTTTGTTCGCCAGAGTTTTTCTGGAGGACAGGTGGCATAAGCGACCCGGTCCTGGATAAGCGGAGGAAAATGGATGGATGGATGGATGGAGGTGGCATAAGCAGAGCAGCTGCTAACAGTAGAAACACTTTACTTTAGCTTTTCTCATGCATTTTTGTTGAAGGAAATCTCTAAAGCCCCAAATTGGATGCAGTGTGTTTGCATTTACTTGATCTACATATGATATGTTTCTCTTGTTTCCTATTCTCCTGAGTTAAA